TGTTTGGCACCAGATGGAGCAAAAAGAACAAGTGATGCAGCTGCAGGCACAGCATGTGCAGCCAACCAGAGAGGTGGCTGGCTGGTGCATGCCACCCAATCCTTGGGATACACACTGCCAACCATGGAGGCAATGGGTGTGCCGTGCATAATTCATAAGAACATATACCCTGGTCACCAGGTAAGGAACACAGCCGCCTACGTACAGTGCACAATCCACAAAAGTGCATGCTGCCAATGACGGAGGTGGGGTAGAAAACCAACCTAATTTCTTAATTGCTGGAGATTCTCCTGAACACTGCACAAACACTTTTGACAGTACACATAAATTCAAGATACTTAATTAAGTAATATATACGTAATCCTATTTGTTATATATGTGATATACAATTTGTTCAATTATTGTTTCAAATAATAGGAATTGAGGAAATAAAAAGTTATAATTCAGACTGATTTCCTCACTCTAAGATTTTACAAAGCTAGTTAAATATATCCATTATTGCTGAAGAAATCTACTGAATGTAAGTTTTTAAGAAATATCTTGTTAACAATTTAGTTACTTCAAACTTAACTGTGAGCAAATCATAGAGCTTTTAAGAATATATACTTCCAAAAAGATTTTTATAATTCAAAGAGAAATCTAGTTAAGTAAAAATAGACACTAAGAAAAATTTTAAATTTGGTTAAACAAATAATGGAAAAACATTCAAGTGAAAATATGTGGAGGGAAATTTCTCAAGATTTAAAGAAAGGTATTTAATTAAAATAGATGTAATTCTCATGTTATCTCAATTACTTTTAAACAGACATTTAAAAAGACTTAAGAGATTCAACCATGTCTACCTATCTACAATATAAATAAGATAAAAGATTCAAATTTAGGGGAAGATAACAATACAGCAGATAGTATCTATCTATAAATAATGGAAAGGCGCAAAACTGAGAAACAGAAAGTAACTTCCTGCTCTAAATGCACACAAACTTGACTGGGGAAGTGCTGGGTCCTTGTTATTCTGATCGCTTTCTCCATCTGATATTTTCTACACGTGCACATAAATTACATAAGATTAGAGTCGTGTTTGTTTAAGCATCTTTTCATAAAGCACATATTGAGTGCCTACTGTTTATTCCTAACTCATTGAAAGGAAAAATAAATAAAAATGAACAAACTGACTTAGGAGAAAGTCAACTAAGGATAAAGAATATCAGATGCCAAGTTAGTAAGTCAAAACCAATGAAAGGGAAAAGATATAAAAAATGTTCCATTGTTTCATAAAGCATTAAAAAAGACTGCTCTCACTATTGGAAAATCAAATTTAACACATACTTCGAATGCTATCAACTAACAACTGTTTTTCTAGCCTGCTGTGAGAATGACATATTGTTGTGTATTCTCGGAAAAATGAACCAAGACAAAATCTTATTATCCCTGATGGTCAATTTAGACCAAGTTAACTTTGGTGTTTGGTTAAATAACAAAGGGATAGGATTATGGACACAGTTCAGCAACAAATTGTTCATTAAGGTATGAAATCATGCCATGAGTTCCAAAAAAAGGGTTAGTTGTATAAATTTGGGAAATAATCACTCATGCAAAAATCAGAAAATACCTGTACCGAGCCACCATGTCTGTCTGCTGCAAGGTGAGCTCTCAAATGGTGGGGATTTGCCTGCTGGGAGTCCCAAGCTGCCCTGTGGTCTGCCGACTGCCATTTATTTAATGCATATGGCATGCATGGAAGAAGAAAAACCCAATACGTTAAAAACCGCATCCTTAAATATATTAAAACAAATGTATAATAGGAAATTTAAAATGCCTTCACTATTCTGAACCATGTAGTTATCTTTGCATGGTGATGTGGAGAGATTTTAGTAAAAGCACTAAAATTATGTACTAACAATAGAAAGAAAACAATTTTAGATATGAAAGGACTTTGAGATCACAGACACAATCCTCTAAACTTTACAAAGTTAACTCAGAACCCAGAGATGCCCAAGAAAGCGCTCCAAATAAATAATGAGTACATTAAAAAAGCATCTGTCCGCGTTCTTACCATGGAGGTCCCCAGTGGTTTTCAAATGAGGACCTCCTTTTAACAGGGTTAAAGTCAGAAACAAAACCAAAAAACTCAATAGTCCTTAGTTTACTTAGAGATTTAGAAAACATTTCTCTCTTGCTTAGGATAATCTGCTTCTGATTGTGAGGACTATATGGAAAAAAATAGAAAATTTCTTTTTAAAAGTGAGATGAACTAAATAGAACACTATGAGGCTGCAAGCATATCCTATATGAGATCCTCTAATTCACTGATCTCCTTTTATCTGGTTCAAATCAAGAAACTAATTTATAGGAATTTATAAGAAACAAGCTAATAAGTCTTAATATTTTTAGATTCCTTAATAAATCTGCCTGCTAATAACCACATACAAGTAGTAACCTACAACAAAATGAAGAATAATTGTGTAGTTAGTTTTCTATGTTCCAGGAATATGGAATATTAAGATGGTGGCAGTCCTAAGTATTTATGTTTCAATTTTGTGTTTGGTCTGTCTGAGCTGTTTTATGTTTGTTACTTAATTTTCAGAAAAACAATATCATCCCCATTTTATTAAGCCATTGAAGCACTTAGATATTAAATACTTCTCTAAGGTCACGAAGCTAGTAAGGAGTATAAGAAGTATTCAAACTCAGAGCCTCATGCTACTCTCCTTACTATGCACCTGGCTCTTTACCACAATTACACATATTCTAAAGACTGCCTGCTCTTTCCTTTCATCCCCACCCCCTGCACCACCCCTTTCCCCAACTATCCTAAGTCTAAGAAACTACAACAAAGGATATTTCTGAATATTTTAAAGCTGCTGGCTACAACCCATATCTTTTTAGGGTTGGTTTCAAATGCCAACCAACTGATCTCTTGCCTTAATTATTCTCAACTGCACAGTCAAGTACAGTTTCCTCATAGATTTCTGTGTTTCTCCAACATTTTCAAACTCTACTCCTGGGCTTGGGACTACAGCAGCTCTATCTCAAGGTTCAGAGTGTGGGCTAGTGTCAGGATGGCCCACTTATAGAAGTCGGCAGTGGGCTTCCTTGCTAGATGAAGCTTAGCTCAATACTACATAAAAAAAAGAACATAAATATTTGCTTTGCAATTCTTGTGGGAATTCAAGAAGTTCTTTGAAGACAGTACATATAGTAGGTTCTCCAATTTTCCTAATATTTGCATTTCTGAAGAGACCTCTATGACTTTATATTACAGCAAAGAGTTTAGGCAGCAGATTGATTTATACTGACGGGAGCACATTGGTTAAGGATATTGCAAATTCAGGAGATACAATTGATCAATGTGCTGGCACTAAGATTTCTATACTAAAACTATAAGAAGCAAAAGTCCATCATCTATGTCTGGAAAGTTTATTACAATTATATCCTCTAAGTAATTATGACAGTTCTAGAATATCTTTTTATTAAACCCACCAAATCCTTAAACCAACATTTAGCAGATTTGTACTTTAAATGGAAATTGATAAAAGCTATGGGCACTGTGGTACCTGAATGAGTTTATGTGAGTTATGTGAGTTAGACACTCCCTGGGAGTGGACTTTCTACTCCCATAAACAAGTACCATCTCAGAAACCAACAAGGCTCACTATGAGTCAGCATTGACTCCATTGACAGTGAGTGAGACCCTCTTGGCCAGGGGTGGTGTCAACCTGTCAATCAAGTAGTAGCTTGGGGTGGCCTTTTGAATGAGAGTGAGGGACTTTGGGAACTGCTGCTCTTTCTGCCCCTCTACCTGTTGGCCTGCTGGAACTCTAACTTTCTTGGGGGTTTGGTCCATGTGGGCTGCCCACCTCTGAGAGCTGCAGGTGCCCTGCCATTCCCTGCCATGTTCCCACTAACCTTGGATCCCCAACTCTGCACCCATCAGCTTGTAATCTTCCTGCTTCCAACCTTTCTACATCACTAGTCAACTGCTATGTAAGTCTGAAGAGGGATTTAAGGAACTAGCATTATATCTTAGGACTGGAGTTGGATTGGGCTAGGATGCCTTCTTGATATATAAATACTTCTTTATATAAAGCTTGTTCTTATACCTATATGATGTCCCTGGATTTGTTTATCTAGACACTCTGGCCTAACCCAGGTACTCAACGTTTCATGCACAACTCCAGGAAGAGGGTAAGAATCTTTACCTAGAGACATTACAAAGGATTTAATCATTTGAAAGATCTATCCTAATTTTTAAAAAATTATTTGTATTGTGAACTCTGGGCTTCTCAAAATATTTAAACAGTTTAATATATTTTCAGATAGCTAATAAGAGTTCTTTTCTAGATTCATTTTTTCCTATAATAAGGAGTCACTCTATCCAATATTTCTCAAATTCAATCAACCATAACTGTTTTACTTTATTATAGCATACAGAGCTCAAGTGGAAAACGTCAGAGAACAACAATTATCTTCTTCCAAGTACATTCAAGAAATTAATTTATAGGTCTGATTTATAAAGCCAGAAACTGTATGCCTTAATTTCCTAAAAGACCTATTTCTAATTACAATGTATATTTGAAGTAATTTATTTATAGGATCACTGAGACTTAATGGCTACATGCTGAGTGGCTAACCAAAAAGTGATTCAAACCCACCACAAGCTCCGCAAGAGAAAAAGACCAGGCAAACTGCTCCCATGAAGACGCATCTTAGGAAACCCTGTGGGCGGTTCTAATCTGTCAGAGTGGGTACATCTGAGTTGGAACACCCCTATGTACACAACAATTTGTCTCAATTTTGTGAAAGTCAAATTCTAAGACAAAGCTTTATAAACTACCTATATTTTATATCATAATGTGGTTAAATTTCTCTAAAGTCTAGTGTTTTGTTTGCTGTGATCTTTAAAAGCAGTGTACTTTGCTTTGGTTTTCCCCACTTGTTCTAACTCTCACATAACTTCTGATGGGATAAAAGTAAAAAAGCCAAAGGACAGTACACTGTATTCTTCTCCAAAAGGGCTCAGGCTACAAAGTCCTACAAAGGCACTGTTTTTAATTTAGGGTGATAGCTTTGTTTTGTTTTTTAAATGTTAAAGATAGCTTCAGTGAAGGTTCTTTTTACTTTTTTAAAAAAGAAGAAAGGTGGAAATATGGCTGCAAAACATCAACACCTTTCCATTACTTTACCCAGAAAACATGAACTCGGCACTCTTGACCAATCTCATCTACTATATCTCAACCTGCTTTCTCTACCTACTCTCTGCTCCAATCGGACTGGACTCCTTGCTCTTCTTTAAATTCTGCATTTTAAAACCACTGCTTCACATTTCATACTGTTCACTCTCCGCAATATGCCTTTAATCTGCCTTCAAATATTCCATTCATTCTTCAGGTTTCCTGCTCCATAAAATGTTTATAGTTCCAATGCAGCTTTAAAAATAATTTTCACATAACATAGCTCTATTTTGTAAGATATTTATCATTATAATCATTTCAAAACCACTGACAACCAATGCTATTTACTGAACATAATATCAAAATAAAGAAACAGACTTTGAGAGATAAATTAACTAGTCCAGAGTTGAATCACATCTAGGTACACAGGAAGTGAAAGATTGAGTGAACTTTTATCTCCAACATTGCTTTTAGCCACTCATTAGAAAATTACCTTACATTTGCATTACCTTACATTTTCTGCATTTAAGCAGTGTATAGAATAGTGCCTTTCAAATAGTTAGCATGTAATTGAATTATGTGTTGTTCCCTAAACAACACATAATTTAGTGAACTAAATTACAACCATGGATAGAACAATCAACTACTATTACAATTCATTCCAACAGGATATTCTAATAGAATACCAAACATTTCTCTAAGTTTCTACTAATTTATATCACTAATTAGAAATTTATGACTACAAAGATATAGGCTAGTTACGGTTTCTGTAAAGATATTTTTCTTTAGGCTAATAGGTAGGGAGAAAAGGTAAAGGACAAATACATTGTCAAAAATTAAATTTTCAAGCTCAATATGTGTATGTGTATAATCTGTTAATTTTTGAAATATATATTTCAATTCTTCAATATGTATATATATGTCTACACAGATACATAAAGCTGCCATCTGGATATGGCTCTACAACAAATATATTTATAAATTGTCAGAAGGCAATTAAGAAACAAATTGGAAATTTCATATCCAGCACACCTGATTTTTGGACTGCTGCATCTTCTCCCTGTGCTGATGTGCTTCTCTGTTAGATGACAGAGCAGGATCTTGTTGAACCGCTCCAACTGGAGTAGGCTGCAATGTAGAAGTAATTGGTACTGATACGTTCTATTGCAAAAATGTTATGTAAAATAATTTTTTGTGTGTAACAGGAAAAACACAAAAAAATAAGACAAGATTGATTTAATGGTTTAAAAGATGGGCTCACAATGTGTTCCTGAAACTAACAAATTAAGCAAAGACACCAGAGTTATTTTAAGAGTATTTTTAAAATATTAAACTACTTTAAGTATTTATTTTTATATCTACAAAAGACCAGAGTTAGAGAAAAGAAAAGCTAAAGGTCATTGCTGCTTTCAAGCTATTTTTTCCTATCAGAACAATGAAAATGTATTTGTTAATGGCTCTGGTTTCCAAAACTAAGGAATAGACTAAATAAATTATTTGTAGAAAAAAGTAATTTTATACAAAATATTAAAATTGCCACTGCCAACTTTTTGACTCAGATAAATTAATAAAGTTTTATTTCCAATAATTTAAAACCTGATGTAAACATAAAAACCAATACATAAGGTTAATCAAGATTCACATCACAGATCTCACATATGTCCAAAATTGATAAATTCTGGAGTAATTCAATTAATTGTTCAAAAACTGCTGAGCTTTTCAGTCCAAAGTATGGGTAAAGATAAATTAACACTGCCACAATTGAAGACATGTTTAAAATAAGCCTACTTATTTTTTTATTGAATATTAGATTTTTTTTTAAATTGTCTCTAAGAATTTAATAGCATTTCTTTAAATGAGAAGCAATCATCTCACAATTGTGACAATAATTTTAAATCTGTAAAAACTGAGTACATTTAAAAAAATTTAAACATGCTCCAATTTATAAGTACCAATCTAAGAGACTACTTATATTATTATCACTGTCTTAAGAGTGCTATAATAAGTAAAACTTATTTTTAAAAAGCAACAGATATTTTATCAGCTAGCAAGGGGAAACAAAAACCAAAATTAGCTGGCCCTTTTAAATGGCCATACCATTAGAGTATTATGCACACACAAAAAATATTTTGTATAAGAACTAAATCAGGAATAAAACATTGAAAATAACTTATTCTAAAGTACAGGATTTGAATAGAATTCAAGGAATAATGTGCTATGTCAAGATATGTCTACACAAAGGAAATAAAACCAATTTTTTTTTAAATTGCTTATTCTCAAATCTTTTCAAGTGAAGAGTTTATAATCTTAAAAAGAAAACAAGGAACAATAGGATTCACTACCATAAATTAACAAAGAGGCCTCCAGGCAGCCAGAGGCAGATAAAAATCATGTAGATCCAGGAATGGATTTTGGGCTTGCACTTAATCCTACCTCCAATCTAGGAAAAATTTGTTCTTACAAAATGCCCCTGCTTGATACTTGCCCTCATGAAGGAAACACAGAACATATGTGCGCTCTAGCAAAGTGTGGTGAAGAAATTAGATGGTGCTCTGCTATCAGGCAGACATCCTCTGGAGTCTTATGGGCTTGGTTTCCCAACAAGCAGCCATATAAGTATGATGTCAACTAAATCCACCTGGAAGAAGCACACTAACATCTGGGATTCAAGGATAGTAAATTATATAATCCATAGTATCAGAGCTTAAATTGTGAGATTCTGGTTTGCAGAAGTCTATGATTAACAATGGAAGCCCAAAATATATCTGCCAGATCTACACAGGAAATCAGCCTCAACTGATTTCCCTTCAACCACAATTAAGGGATGAGAATAAAATGGTCACCAAACAGAGGACTGGAGAGGTGAGTGTCGTAGATCAAAATGATAAACCTGATTTGATCGGTTAAAACCCTCTCACTCATCTCCCCTCTGTAAGACTTAGGGCTAGATCTGGTTTTCAATGTTTTCTGTGTTTCATTGGGGTTTATCTCTGGCATATTTTTTCATTGTGGGGCGCATTCTTGAATCTTTGTTATGATTGTCTGTTTTTTGGGTATATGTAACCCAGGACTGATAAAAAGATATAGTGGAAACAAATAAGGTTCCGGAGGAATACGGTGAAGGAGATGGGGTGGAAAAGGGATGGTGATATCAAGGTGTTTAAGAAGGAAGAAAATGTTTTGAAATTGATTGTGTTGGCAATTGTACAATGCCCCTTGGTGTGACTGAACTATGGAATGATATGTTTGGATTGGCTCCTAAATAAAATGGTCTAGAAAAAAGTGAAAGTTAATGGTAAAAATGTTATTATACAGCATAGTACTCACCAACTGCTTACCAATCCAGTCATATTCATAATCAAACATATATCCTTTTCGATCAAACAAGTCAGTAAAAAGCTTTCTTAAGTAGTCATAGTCTGGTTTTTCAAAGAAATCTAGCCTTCTTACATAACGAAGATATGTTGCCATTTCTTCTATAAGAAAAATTAATATTCTAATTCTACTTTTCTATAATTATCAATGAAAACATTTTACATGTATAAAATTGTTATATTATAAAAAGCTGAGCACCGTAACAAAATTCTAATGCAATTTAAAATGCTCTGAATTTTAATATAATGAAATCAAAATAGGAAGAAGGAAAGAAAATTGGGATCAAAGAGAAATGAGTTTTCAATTAGAACCACTATTTTTGTTCCATTAGTAAAGATTAAATGTTTTATATTATTTTTATAGCTTTGATAGTATTAAGGACAAGAATTGAAACACTGCAATTGAGTCCATTGTGACTCACAGTGACTCTAGCACTGCCCTCTGTGGATTTCTGAGCAGAAAGCCTCCTCTTTTTCTGGTAGTTTCGAACTACTGACCTAGCCTTTAGCAGTCAAATAAGTAACCCATTATGCCACCCGGGACCCTTAGAGATTAAGTTAGCAACATAATAATGCATGCTACTTAATCACAATCCACCGTTAGTGGATTATGTATTTACATGAAAGCACTCACAAAGGCCAGCTAGAATCCCTTTAGAACTAGTGACATACACTTAACCACCAATACACTCACTCACTGCACCGAGTGGATTGCAATGCAGTATTGCATTCTCTTAGACATAAAGTCCACAGGAGTCGCAACAGACTCAACAGCATCTAACAATGAAAGAATCTCCTTGGAGAAGAGACTCATTCAGCTGGTATTGGTCGACACTATTAAGAAATAGAATTATCTTATATTATCATTTTACCAATCAAATGCATAATCTGTCCCTGTGGTCTATACATAAAATGATGCCCTCTTTTAAATCACATTTTGGAACAATTTTTTAAGGCATGGGGGGGGGGGGAATTTACAAACTCAAGCAATGAAAATTAACAGTCCTACTTTCCAGTGGATCAATTTGCATTCATATGTATCAATTTAGCATCATTCATTACCTGGAAAATTTTCACATAACACTTCTATTGGTGTAGCTCGTTTTGTATCTCCAATTTTCTGATACCTTTCTTTTAATGTGTCAGCCTAAAACAGAAAATTTTTAATATCTTGAAAAAATAATCATTTTTAAATGATTTAGTTATAAAAGAGAACCATAGTATATTATTAGCATTTTATAAAATTCAATAAGGAAACAAAAAATAATTACCTTTAAACCTTGCCAAGGAAGACTGCCTCTCAGAAAATACATGAACATATGACCTAAAGCTTCTAAATCATCTCTCCTACTTTGTTCTGAAATATATGAGAAACAGGTTTATTTTCTCCTACCAGTTAAGGATTCATGAATGAGCTCTTTCATTGTGTATACATTAATTTCAAAAAGTTCAATATGCAAACATAAAATACAGATCTACTACTATAAATGACAAAATCATTCCTGGTTAAAATAAGTTGTTTTTACTCTAACATTACTATACATTTAAAAAATTATATGCCGCTATGAGTTTTCACATGTGCCCAGTTAGCTCCCCATTTATATATTCATGGAAGTAAAAGGTAATAAATAATCAGAAAGTTAAAATATTAAAGGTTCTAAAAGGCTCCAGAGTTTAAGTGCTTAAGTCCTTTAAACCCTCTTTTCTAAACTTAAATGAGCACAAAACCTCCCTGCCACATATTCTCTATTAACAGTATACACAGTATTTTCTGTAAAATGTTTCCAGAAATGTATCTCGACATTACTAACCTCTCAACCATCACTAAGCCACGTTCGTTTTAGTGATGTATGTTAGATAGTGATAATCACAGGCAAAGGTTCAGGCGAAGTACTTAAAAATATTTGCCGACATATAAATATTTTTGACATTGCATTGAAATATTTAACATTTCTTGAAATGTTTTAAAATTAAAAAGTATAGATTAGCAATGAAAGGAAAAATAAGAGGATATTTATGAACAAGATGTTCTACCTAAGTAAATAATTAATCTTCACAACATCTAAGGAGAATTTACATACTTTCCAAAAAGCTTCAATACCTGGGTCTCATCAACAGCAAAAAGGTTAGAAAAGGTTTTTAATACTATATACCCTTGTAATATTCTATGCCTGCTTATTACAACACTTCTTAAAGATTAAAACTAAGTTTGTGTTATTGTTTAATCAATAATGCCTGGCACAGAGCAAAGGCTTAACAAATGAACATTTGGCAGTATATACCATACATATGCTCCTTTTCTACCAGCATAGGAAAAATATCCACAATAATGTGCATCAAAGGGTCACTAGTTAGGAGAATGGAATTAGAGCAATAGTGAGGGAACGTTTTCTTCTTATTTCATATAATCAAAAGTGTAGCATGTGGGAATATTTTTCTTTCTTGTACTTTTTTATTATAATGTGCATGCTATGCAAGGGTCACTGTGAGTCAGAATTTGCTTGAGAGCATTGAACTGATTCATGTGTTAATGAAAAACAATAAGGATTTCCAAAATAAGTGAATTTAGAAGCCCTTTTAAATCTATACATGCAAGGGAAGAAATCTTTTATAACTAAGATTTCACTTCAATTA